CGTGGACACATGTCGTGACTGGTCGACACAGCAGTAGCTAGCTGAAGGCACGCTGTTGGCTTATTGCGTGGACACATGTCGTGACTGGTCGACACAGCAGCGGCTAGTTGAAGGCAAGCTATTGGCTTACTACGTGGACACATGTCGTGACTGGTCGACACAGCAGCAGCTAGTTGAAGGCAAGCTATTGGCTTACTACGTGGACACATGTCGTGACTGGTCGACGCAGCTGCAGCAGCTAGCTGAACGCACGCTATTGGCTTACTACGTGGACACATTTTGTGACTGGTCGACAGCAGCAGCTAGCTAAAGGCACGCTATTGGCTTACTACGTGTCACATTTTGTGACTGGTCGACGCAGCAGCAGCTAGCTGAAGGCACGCTATTGGCTTACTACGTGGACACATTTCGTGACTGGTCGACAGCAGCAGCTAGCTAAAGGCACGCTATTGGCTTACTACGTGTCACATTTTGTGACTGGTCGATGCAGCAGCAGCTAGCTGAAGGCACGGTATTGGCTTACTACGTGGACACATTTTGTGACTGGTTGACAGCAGCAGCTAGCTGAAGGCACGGTATTGGCTTACTACGTGTCAAGTCGTGACTGGTCGACAGCAGCAGCTAGCTAAAGGCACGCTATTGGCTTACTACGTGTCACATTTTGTGACTGGTCGTCGCAGCGGTGGATAGCTGAAGGCACGCTATTAGGTAACTAAGTGTCCACGTGACGAGATGTGATTGGTCGACGCAGCTTCAACTGAAAGGAAAGGAAGACATGTGACGCAGATTGTGTGACAATCATCTGACAATCATTTAGCGTTAGCTTTCCGTAACTTATTTCCCTATTTAGCATTTTAGAGTTAGTGAAACTAATTTTTAGTTAGCAGAAATTAGTGAAGCTAACGTTTTGGTTAGCTGTGTCCACCGCTCTCTGCAATAAATGAGCGAAGTCAGCAGGGTCAAGTTTTGTTGCTAACAATTGCGAGTCTTTTGGTTACAGTCGAAAATTGACGAGTTCCCTTCAGATATTGAGTCGGTAAAATAAATAAAGTCAAGACGGAGAACGATGCAATTAGAGGAGCGGAAGAGAAAATCTGAAGGGTTTATCTTGTCTTCTGAAAAAAAAAACGACAACCAAAAGCTGGGAGGTCAAGACAGGAGTGGAGTAGTTTAAGGGACGGAAATCGATCGGTGGAGTGCGCTAAAGCAAAAGTTTGCACTAAAATGATCTCCAAATCATCTGTGCTGAAAAATTCTGGATCAACTGGAGAATCGATGTAACTGATTGCAGAATTAATTGTACCCAAAGGTGAGGAATAGTTTAGTTTTTACAACAACAAAAAAAAAAACTGATGAGTTTGAGTTAAACTAATCCCAATCATTTAATCATGTAGAACTTGTGGTAAAGAGGAGTCCAAACATTTTCAGATGTGGGACAAAACTATCCAGATGAACGGACTCAAGGGCCACAAAAATGTGAATTTAACTCTAAATGTGAACAATATTTTGGAGAAAGGACAAAAGTTTATTAATTTTTGTGGAGACAGAGTTTTAAATTGTAGATCCAAAACATTAAAAGTTTCATAAACGCTAAGATATTTTTTATTAAAAAGGATTTGATTTATTTGATTTGTTGGGTCTATGTTTGTTGTTTTCCTGAGTTTGGAAAGTTCATTTTAGTCTGTTCTCAGCAACAAAAGCATAATTTGAGTAAGTGTCTTTTTAAAAAGGAGGTCGTTTTTAGACCATGGACGTCCCAAAACGCTGATTTCGAAGTTTTGAAAAATCGTCCTGTCAGTCGCTACAACAGATTCATAGAAGGTTCGATAAAGTCGATCAACTCGTATGTCGACGATACCACTTTATACTCATTTAAAAAATGTCCACGTTCCCTCTTGATTATTTTATCAAAAGAGCACAGTTTTATGAATCATTATCCTAAAGTCTCCTTTCAGGTAAAAATCAGTAAAGGTTTTTGGTGATTTGTACCATGACAGGAAAATAAAGATTATAGAGAAAGTTTTGTATTTTGTTTAATAGTGCTATTTTTTTAGATCGTTTTTCATCCGTTCTGCTGTTAAATCTGAACATTATATAAAAAAGGATTACCAACTAATTTGCAGAACGTCTGCATCTGAAACCTGCTGGACAAAATGATACGTTCTTAAACTGCAGTCGTGGGCCGCACAAAATCACTCCCAGGGCCGCAAATGGCCCTCGGGCCGCACTTTGGACACCCGTGTGCTAAAGCATGAAGATTCAAATCATTCAATCACATATTTTAGTATCTTCAACTCAAACTGTATCTTTAATTTCAACAGTCGGAGGTGTAGATATATGACCTAATTTGGTTTAAGCAGTTAAATCTGAATTTAAAAATTAGAACGCAGTAAAAAAATCTCGTCTCGTCTTAATATCATCACAAACATCCAAGCTGAAAACGATTGCTTAGCCTTGGAGCATATTTTTACTAGTTTCAAGCAACAAAAAACAACCATGTGTTTGGCTCATTAACAAAGTTCTTAGTTTAGTT